GAAAGAGACAGACAATTTTTCAGCAGAGGATTCAGAAAGCCTTGGAGAAACTACTAATGTCTTAAATATGGTAATGGTTTTCCTATTTATGTGATATAGATATAAGTTCCTCATGTATTTGTATGTGTATGTCTGTGTGTCTACTTCCTAAGCCATTATATACATAGAAAAGCTTTTGTTTTTGTTTTGGTTTCATTCATTATTTTAAAATCAGCTTTATTGAGGTATAGGTTACATACACTAAAATTCATTTCAACTCTCACATTATTAGTATGCAATTGAGAATTGATTATGTGACTATATGAACTGTTCTGTGTTAATTTCATTTATATATTTTTAAAAATCAATATATAATCATATAAATATATAATCATATGTATAAATATATAATCATATATATAGTCTTTATTCTTTTTAGAACATATTTTAAAAAATTTATTTCAGACACATATGATGAGCCTGAATTCCAATGAAAAATCATTAAAATTATCACCAATTCAAAAACAAAAGGTATAATATAGAGAGTTATTTTCACTATGATGGGTAAGAATACTTTAAATTATTTATATTTTTCTTGAAAGGTTTCTGGAAAGGACACAAGAAAGGTAAGCATTCACTTCTTTAGGATTTAAAAGATGGGGATACTGTATATAGCCTCAATTTGGGCTTGTTCTGTTGGTGTGTATTTTCTGTGATGCAACAAGAGTGGCAGAATTTCACTGCCGAAATTTGCTCTTTGGAGTCACTAACAAGTGACGATAGCCATACTTTGTTACCGTCAAGGCAAAAGATTTTTATCACAGTTCTTAAGTATTGGAAGAGGCTCCTGTCTATGAGTGTCTCTCACACTTTGGTTGAGTATGACTTTGGGTGAGTTACCTTGCTGACCTTACAGGATGATATTAACATCTTTTCTAGTTCTAAAATTTTGTGGGTTTAGTTGAAATATTTGGTAATTGCTTTTACAATGTTTGGAATAGGCATTAATTTATCAAGGAATTGGTAGCATAAAAACAAGATTAAACATTTGGAAATTAGTCAGAAACTATGCGTGGGTGATAAAGAGAGACCTTTAATGAATAACAAATGAATAGCAAGAGGAAGGAATATTCTGGTTTTCACAACCCTGGAGAGATAAAGGCCTATCCTGAAGTCATTTGCTTTTCCTGGCTTTAAGGACCAGTGATGTGAAAGGATGAAGGGCTGAAGATTAGAAAAGTAAATTAGAGAAATGTAAATTGAAGGATGAAGGCTGCAGAAAACATTTAATTTGTATTTCTAGTGCCTTTGCCACATTGTTAAAATAAAAATCCTTAAAATCAAAGTCACTGAAATCCAAGAGAATCTTGCTAAATTATAAAAATTTAGTGCCAATCCTCATTAGTCCTATCTGTATTTTACTGAGAGCCATGGTGAATAACAGCATTCTTTTTGAATATGGGAGAGCTTTTTTCCTAACACAGTTATGGAAGCTCAGTGACTGACTGATCTATTGACTTGACTGTACTTCCAAGCAGACATCTTTTGTATGTCTTTCCTTCCTCTTAGACTCTGGGCTCTGCCTCTTCTGTGCTGCTTTATTGTGCTAGGCACATACATTTAGAAGTTATTTCTGGCAGCTGGGCCTCTGTCTCTCTTAGGGCTCTTGAAAGAATCATGACTTTTTAAAGAAGACACCTAGAACAAACAGAAAAGGAAAGCACTTTCTTTTAAACTGACATACATTTTATACTTCACATAGTCCTTTTAAGTGGAGGCCCTACCAAGCCTAGGTATTTTTAGTAAATAAAAAAAGATTTATTATAGTATTTTTTATATATTAATTTTTAACTTGTGCTGTTTTAATAATTTACTTAGCAAAAAATGACCTCTTCCTAGCACTCATCACAATTTATAAAACTTGATTTAGTGAGGTTTTACTATCTAGAGACCCAAATTTCATTGACTGTTTCAATCCATTAGCTTGTAGAATTTAGGTCAGCAGTTTGATTTTTGCCTTATTTTGTCCAGCAGGAAATTAATTTCATATTCTTAATGTATCATCAAAATCTCAATGTTTCATTATATGTTTTTTATAAAAGTTTATAAAGTTTTTATAAAATCTTATATTTTACCTTAAGTATTTTTTTCTCATAGTATGCAAATTATTATAATTAAAGAATATAGTAGATAAAAGGAAGAGGGTCAAAAATTTGAGAACTCAAAGGATTTTGTTTAAAAAAGAAAAATATATTAATTATTATCTAGTGTATTGATAAAAACATTTAATTTGTAGTTGTTTTTGTTGTTGTTTTTTGGGGGGGGTTTTGTATTTTGGCTGTGGCATGTGGGATTGAACCTGGGCCTCTGCAGTGAAAGCGCCAAATCCTAACCACTAGGCCACCAAGGAACTTTCTCACTTATAGTTTTCATTTTAGATTTTTTCTTCTAGAAATAAGCTATTCATTATTTCAACTTTTTAAAAATTTCATATTTTCATTTATTTTCTTTAATTTTGAGAATTTCATGGAATCAAAAGACCAATCAAAATTTGACAATACAATAGGGAAGGTAGAAAACCATACATTTTTTAGCAATATTTTGCAAAATCAGTCTGGAAATATATTTAAGAATTGATTCAGATTAAGAAAAGGGGCAGAGAATAAATATTGATGGTATTGTGCATAATGGCAAAGTTAAGGCAGGTGGTAAATTTGAAAGTTAAACACAGATATGTATTACTAAATCAAAATTAGATGTTCCACAGACTTAGAGAGTGGCATAAATTATCCCCCCAAAAAACCCAGAATCTGAGCAAAACGTCTGATAAAACTGGGCATTTTTATTCTAGTGGAATTTATAATAATGCAAAATCTTGGCAGTATTTTATAATAGATAAGTTACCTTTTGTCAACTAATAGTAGTATGACGATTACTTGAAAAAATTTACAGAAACAAGAAACAATTGAGAAACTGAAGCAGCATACAGCTCATACTGAAAATGGCGGTAGTATTGAATATGAAAATGAAGAGATGTCCAAAAAGATGAAAGAAGGGAAAGCATATAAACAACTTTTGGCAAAAGGAATGTACATGATGCAAGCAGCTGTGACCATGGAAGCATTTTCAGATGAGGACATAGGTAACAACTCAGGCCAGCAAAGGCCTCAGGCCAACACCAGTGCAGAGAGTTTGCAAAAAGGGATACTTAGACATGAAAATAAGCATGGTGTCTATCCACTTAATAGTAAGGAAATAGAAAAGGAAAGTGATGAAGGACAAAGTCAGAAGGATTCAGAAGTGGAAGAAATAGTTTCTGAGAAGGAAACCGGTCTGGTGAAAATGGCAGGTCTGAATGATATAAGAAAAGGTGAAGAGAATAGAAAAAATATTGATACATTCCTTGAAGACTTACCAAATAGAGACATGAATATTGAGGATGAAGAAAATAAGAACTTTGTTAAGGAAAGTGAAAGTAACAAGCGAGATGTGATACTTGATGGTGAAAGAGAATCTATGGAGGAGCCAGACAGTTACTTGCAAGGTGATAGTGAAAGTCAGCAGGGTACAGCTGTTGGATTCAAGCAGCCTGAGTCAATAGAATTTAGCAGTGGAGAGAAAGAGGATGAAGTGGAAACTGACCAAAACTTGCGGTATAGCAGAAAATTTATTGAACAAGGACATGAGGAAGAGATCGAACACAGAATGTCCAAATACATGGCAAAATATGATTTTAAGGGTGACCACATATCAGACACCCCAGAGGAGCAGGAAGAAGATGATTCAGAAGGAAGTGGAATAGAGGAGCAAGAGATAGAGATAAATGAGGAGGTGCCTGGAGAAAAAGAGGAGGAAGCAAAGTTCCTGTCAGATGACCTTACAGACAGAGCAGAGGTGAGTGAAGGCGAGGGAAAGCCAGGGGGAGAGGCAGAGCACGTGCCTGAAGGTGGAGGTGAGGGAATCGGGAAGGAGGGTAATTCAGGAGTGGAACAGAGGAGTGGAACAGGAAGTGAGGAGGGGGAGGAGAAGAAAGACAAGGGAGGAGGAGAAATGGAGAGCCTGGGTAAGGGAGAGGAAGACCTGAAAGAGGAGGAGGAACGGGAGCAAAATGAGAGGGAACAGGGCCATCAGGAGGAAAGAAACAAAGGGCTGGAGGAAGGGGAAGGGAGCGAGCAAGCAGGGGGCGAAGGAGAGGAGGAGGAAGGCAAGGAGGAAGAGGGGGGAGAAGACAGAGAAGGAGAGGAGAAGAGAGAAGGGAAA